AACAAATTAAAAATGAGAGATACCACATAAAAGAGATGCTAGATTGCATGCCTTTGCTGAATTTATTGGAGATTAACACAACTTCAACTTTTAATGGCAAAGAAGCTGTGAAAATGATGTATTTTTTAAAATAGCTATTCCATCTACCCATGGCTGTGACCTTGCTCAAGACTGATTTGACTTTGTCGCTGTCGTGTCCCTGCTTGCTCTGGGACTTCAGGCAAAACATTTAACTCCTTTGTGCCTCTGTTTCCTCCTCTGGCAGGCGAGTATAAATACCTGGATGCTCAGAGAAAAAGCATTTATAAATTGCTTTAGTGATTTCCCCACAGAGCTGCTCAATTAACTACTGATGTTGTTATGGACCCCTCCAATTTCAGTTTTCTGTGGTGAGAAAAGCACTGGTAGTTAACAACCTCCTAAGCAAGGAATTGCTGTTTTCCAGCCTTGCTGCCAACCCACAGCAGCAACAAAAGCTGGTGCCCACCCTGTGCTAAGTCACGGCGTGGGAACCTACTGCAGATTTCTATTTACACCTCCAAGCTCAGCCGCCAAATTTCCCCTCCAGGATAAAAACTGCTGCTGAGGTTGTTGCCTAAAAACATTTCCCTTCCTTGTTTATTCTAAAAACCAAGCACTGAAGATCACTGAGCACCCACCTCCACCCCCCCATGCACTTTTAGGAGTTTCCATGCAGATCTGTGCTGCTCTAGGCTGCCAAAATGCTCCTGTGCAGGCAGCAATCATCTCCAACTCCATGGATTTTTGATCTGAAGTGAAACTCCAGCCCTAAAGATCCCCATTCCGTGGAGCAGGGCTTACCCCATCCCCACAGCTGCCTGGAAGCAGAAGACCCTCAACCCATGGGCCAACTGCCCATCCATGTCCCACAACCATCTTGCTGGGACCTCACAAACCTCGAGAAGCCCTTCCAGAGCAGGAGCTGGGACATGGGAGTGAGCTCAGGGCCAGGAGAACACGCAGAAGGTATTTTGGGCTGTTCTCCATGCCTGACCTGAGCCCTGCCACAGCCCAAGGTGACCTTTGGGGGTCCTGTGCTCCCTGGGCACACAGGGAGCAGTGCTGGGGCACGGATTTGAGGGGTGCAGCTCTGAGTGTCAGAGCACAAACCCTGAACGAGTCACCTTGGAGACAGGACATTTGATATTTACTCTTCAAATGGGGACTGTTCAGGAATGGTTTTGAGGAAATAGTTGCAATTACAGTGTTTTCTCTTGGGATGTACTTAAAAGATGGCTCTCGATTTGAGCTCATTTCCAGGCAGTTGCAGAGCTGTTGTTGGAGGCAGGGCAGGGACTCAGGGGGATACCCCATTTGTGCCACATGGGGGGACCCCTCAGGCCCACCCAGGTGCCTCCCCAGAGCACAGGGGACTGAGGATCCTTCCCACAACCACTGCAGCACATCTGCAAACATCTGTGTGCCGGGGGCGTGACCCTTAATGGGGCCCGTTTATTCACACAGGCAGAACTGGGGGAAATAACAGTGATCATTCCCAGTGATTTATTAGGGACAGTCCTACAGGAGAGGCAACAAAGTCTCAGGCTTGGAGCTGAGATAAAGCAGAGCAAGATTTTCATATGAGCCCGTAGTGGAAGCCACTGAAAAATGCATAAAAGATGCAAGAAAAACGCTTACCCTGCCTGGAAAGCAAATCAAGAGAAAAAATCAAGAGAGAAAAAAGGGAGCCCAGATTAACATGGATAAAGAGTGAGGAAGGCTCAGTATCTGGTTAACCTGGTTTTACTTTCCCTGTATGACTGGTCCCCTAAAGGTCTGACCCTCAGGGCAGAGCTGGAAATTGCTGTTACATTTTCCCTGCCCAGGAACGATCCAGCCCGAGCACATCTTGTGATCAACCCCAGGGGCTGAGCCCCAGAGCCTGGGCCCCGCTAGGAAAAGAGATTTTCTTCTATCTCATTAATTAAAACATGTTAACCAACGGGAGACAAAATTCAAGCAACGCTAAGTGATTTGAAATTTTAATCTTGAGCTGGGAGGGGAGTAAATCCAAGTGTCTCCACGTGCTGTGAATCCCTCCACAGGGAAACTGTGCATAGCTCCACAGGGAAACTGTGCATCCCTCCACAGGGAAGCTGTGGATCTATCCATAGGAATGTTGTACATCCCTCCACAGGGAAGCTGTGGATCCATATGCAGGGCAGCTGTGGATCCATCCACAGGGAAGCTGCTGTTACAGCACAGGGCAGGTGAGGGGAGCACACACCTTTATTAACCCCCAGTCTCACAGTCTCTGCCCACCATCGACTCTCAGTCACCTCAAGGCCCCTCCTGAACATCTTATCCAGGGTTTCAATCCCACATGGATTCTCCATTAAACAAGCAGTGCTTGCCTATGCAAATCAGACCTATTTATTCCACACCAGAGATGCACAGCTCCTCAGGGCAACTCAGCCACTGGCTTGAGTTTGGCCAGAAGTGGTTTAAAAGCTCATTTGTGTTAATTGGCAGCGACTGAAATGCAGCTCATTGGGCAGCTCGGAGCACAACGGGAGGTGCCTCCACCAGTCCTCCCAAATCCTTGGATTTAACACACAGCTGGGCAGCCAGAACCCTTAAACCAGCTCTCAGTTCCTCCAGAAGACAACGGGTTTACAGAATCCTGGATTTAAGGATTTGCATTTGCACCACTTCAAACTCCCTGTGACATGAGAGCAGGTGAATGCTGAGATTCCACCCCTGGGAAGGTGAAACATTTCTTGCCCTTTTATTTCATAGAATGGGTTGGGTTGGAAAGGATCTTAAAGATCATCTTGTTTCAACCCCTCTACCCCAAAGCCCTAAAGATGACATGTTAGAGGAACAACACTTATTTCACTACACTTTGGACAAGGGCCTGGAGGGACAGGACAAGGGGAAATGGTTTCCCACTGACAGAGAGCAGGGTTAGATGGGATATTGGGAAGAAATTCTTCCCTGTGAGGGTGGGAAGGCCCTGGCACAGGTTGCCCAGAGAAGCTGCCCCATCCCTGGAAGTGTCCAAGGCCAGGTTGGACAGGGCTTGAAGCAACCTGGGCTGGTGGAAGGGGGTGGAATGAGATGGTCCTTAAGGTCCCTTCCAACCCAAACCATTCCCTGATCTGTGAGTCCTTAACACTTGGCACTTGAAGCCCTGACTTACACCAAAATGTTTGACAGAGGAAAAGGGAAAGAAAACAGGGACCAAACATTTTCCCTTAGAAATACCTTGGATGGTGACCAGAGTTTGGGTGTCCAGGACTGCACATGCTCATCTAACCTGGCACCTAACCCTAAACCCACTCCCTCTGCTTTTCAAGTGGGAGCATCCAAATCCTCTTGGACAAAGCAGATATCACTCATGGAAACCCTGCAGGTTTTGGTCCCACCTCTGGGTCTCTGCTGTCTTGGAGGCTTTGGCTCCATGGAGCTGCTCCCCCTCCCCAAGGGCCATTCCCAATGGCTACTGCAGGAATTGCTTCACCAGGAACACGACCCTTCTCTCCCTCCCAGCAATAACAGCTCTGGAACTGTAACTTCATCTCCTTCCACTGTTGCCAGACTGCTAATTAAATGATAATTACTTTGAGATGTAATATGTATAACTATCAGGCACTTAACGGGAACGTGTTATTTACTTTTCTTTTTTTAACATGAATATATCTTTTTCTCAAGGGCAGCCAAGCAGTTGACTTTCACTCATGTTCTTCCTCTCCACTGAGCACAAAAATCACTGCCAACAAATTTCACAGGTAAACAAAGTTCTCTTTGTCAGACCCACCTCTGAACCCACCCCAGCAACAACCCCAGCACCAAACTGGGGCTGAAGGATCAGGATTGAACCCCCCTGATCCTTCACTGAGCTGCCAAAGGACCCTTGATATCCAAAAAGGATCCCCTTGGTACCTAAAATGGGACTTGGGCATCATGTTCTGTCCCAGCTTATACCAAAATACTCCTCCAGCTTCTACACTTGCTTCAAGAGACTATCAGATAAAGGAACTACAATAAATTGACTTTTAAAGGTGAAAATGGGCTCATGAGAGCATCACTCCAGAGCAAACCTGCTCTGTTTTTGGCTGAAACATTGGTTTTAATCTGAGAACACCCAAGCAAACAGCAGAAATCAGGAGAGAAGCCTCTCCTGGTGAATCATTGCCTGTAACAAGGATGCTGCAAGCCAAGGCCGTGCATCTGGGGACAAACACACAGCTGACACCGTGGGCTGAGTTCAAAAGTAATTCTCCTGACAGGTAGGAACAGAGCACAAGTCCCTGTCAGCTCAACTGAGCCCTAAGAAACAACAGGAACAAAAGAGCAGAGAAAGACTGGAAGCTGTGAGAGATGCCATGCGAGGCCCAGCTGTGCTTGGGGACACAGAAAGGCAGCACCTCATCCATGAGAGGGTTATTTTACACAGTCACATTCAAACCAAGGTGTAACCACAACTCACTGACTGGTCCCAGTTCCCTTAAACACTCGGCACCTCCCAAATACCAACCTCTCCTAAACAACAACCCCTCCTAAACAACAACCCCTCCTAAACAACAACCCCTCCTAAACAACAACCCC